GTGAGTGAAACAGAGAGAGAGTGAGTCAGGAGTTTCCCTAAGAGTATAATTATGGTGTTGGACCCTGGAGACCACACTGGGTGAGAGGAGAAGAGAAGACATAAGAACAATAAGGAAGGCAAAATGGGAGTCTCAGTGAGTCTGAGGTACTGTACTTGAGATAATAGTTGAGTCAAATACTCCAGGAGCATAGGAAGTGGTCTGCGGGGAGTGGGATACTTGCTTGTGATATTTTGGATCTGGTGGTATTATTTGTCAAGACAAGTTCTACCTGAGGTGGGCTGTAGATAGATTTTAATAAAGTAAAGAGATTGATGAATTGAGGGGTGAAAGTGTAGATGGATCATCCACAGTACTGTTGAAACCAACAAGAATGATGACAGGAATCATACTGGCAAGGTAGCAGCCAGGTTCTCCACAAAGGTAGTTGGTGGTATCGTCTGATGCCTTGTCTTCAAAGGTCCTGTGATTGTAAAGGAGAATGAAGGAGTGATGTTTTGAGTGCTGAAAGGTAACAAACAAGGTTTGGAAGGAGGAGGACACCCATCTTGCCTTCAGGCCATGAAATATTTTGCGTTGAAGGGAAAAGCCACATCCACTTAAGAGGTTGCATTGAGACATGGTGTCTTCAAGTTGTAGCAAGAATATAAAGGGAATATTCAGAGAAGAAATTGGGAATGTAGGAAATTTGAAGACAAATGCTGAGTTCCAGAAGGCAAAATGGAAGTGTTTGGAAGAAGAGCAAAGAGTGAGAGACTAGGTCAGGTTAGGAGACACACAAAACAACCTGGAGAAGAGACTAGTCAAAGATGGAACTGAAGGGAAGAAATGTCAAGTGGTACCTGAGTTAAATCAGGACTTGAGGCATGATAAATCTGGTCCAGGTAGACCCTGAGGTCCAACAGTACAATATAGAATCCAGAGAACCATTTAGCAGCACTATGTGGAACCAAATGTCCACTGTTCACTCCTGCACCTAAATGTGTTACGGCAGCTGGGGGAGAGGGATCCCACCAGGAACACAAGGCTGCGAAAAGGCCTGAGCACTTATTATCTCCTGCAGTGTTATGGTAGACGGGAAAAATATCTCACAGGGAAGTAAAGATGCTTGTTCCTTGGTTAATAGTAAGAGCAGCAAAAGAAGAAGAAAGGGATAAAGGTGAGAATGAAGGAAGTAAGGAAGCAAGGAATCTAGGTTGGATAGGGAAGAAACGGAAAACAGAAGATGAATGATATATCATTAGCAAAAGGGATAGCCAAGGCCAGAAGATCTTTATGAATGCCACAACAGGGTTAGAGAGAGAGTGGGAATGAGCCAATGGAAAAAGAGGAGACAGTGGGTTGGGATCAAGGAGAAGGGAATCACTAGCCTTCATGTTTTCAGAGGTAAGATAGTCCTGACTGATAATCAGGCATGCGAAGTGGCCACAGGAGTGGGTAACAGAAATGCAATGGGTGTCAAGGTCATTGGGATCAAGGAGTTCAAGGAAATATGAGGACAGAGAGTTAGATAATTCATCCACCTGGCTTTTGAAGTTGTCCAGGATTATACCGTTCTTCAGAGCCCCAGATCAACCTTTCAATCCAGTGGCAGTAGGCCAAGATAACCATGGCTGGACCATTATCACTCATTGCTCAGCATTTATTTCTAGAAACGCTATCTTCACTTTACCCTCCCAATCCTTTGCATTCAGGCAAAATGGAGTCATACAGGACCACTGGAACTATCAGTGGCACAGTTAGCAATAGCAGTGGTCTAGTTCCTAGCTGGCTCAATCCACTGATGTTTCATCCCATAATCCCATGGGACAAGGAAAAACATAAGGACAAATAAGTGACAGAGAACAACCTTTCCCAGAGCAATGTATACACTGTTCATTTGGTCAAGAACTATTACTGGCTTTAGTATAAAGCACTGAGCCATGCACCATGGAGAATATAATAAGGAGGTATTAAAATAAGAAGTGAGAGTTCCTCCCTCCACACATCTCAAACACTATGATTGAGTGTTTGGCGGTGTTCCTTTCCAGAATCTACCATGCATATATCAACCCATATTCACATAAACAGTTTTACTTTTTCTTTCTTTCTTAAAGAAAAATTGGACCATACTGTATACACATTGGTCTGTGACATGCTTTTTACAATTAATAAAATATAGAGGGCCATATTCTAACATATAGACAGTGTCAGTCTAGGTCCTCTGGTAAGCAAATGCTGAGACAGGAGTGCAGAAGATTTGGGGTGGTTTTTGGGTTTTTTTGGTAGAAACAAAAACATACATTTACTAAATCAGTGGCTGTATAACACGTACCTGGGACCATAACAATCTGCTCTAGGAAAAAGACCACGTCCAGCAAAGCAGTTTCCATAAGGGATACTACTTCATTTATTTATAGTAATCTATAGTCATTCACAAGAAACCATCCAGTTTCCCCATGAATTCAATGGAGATATGATGGAACTACCACCCTTGAGATACGTATAAGGATGGAATTGATCTCCATCATTCCCACCAGGATGCCATATTGCTTTGTATTGTTATCTTAGAGGCAGTTTCAGAGGCTTATACTTGGCCTTCCCCACTGTGACAGCTCTAACCCCAAAGGCCAAGGACCTAATGTGGGATTATTCTAAATGCCAATTGCCAAGCATGTAAATCACAGTTACTCATTCAAGGACCAGGGAAATGACCTCTGTCTCTGCCCAGCATAGGACTGTTTTAATGGGAAATGTTTACTCTGGAGCTCTCAGCTGGGTTGGCTGAGAAATGACCTGTGGGAGACTAAGGGGGAGAACGCAGTATGGGGTCGGGAAAGCTTTCAGACTGTGGTGCATATATGATACCTGTGAAAGGAAAGGGAGCATGGGAAGCAGAATGGAGCAGGGACGGACTCAGACCACATTGAAATTTGACAAAGCCTCAGCCAACAAGGAGAGGTCCTCAGAGCAAAGAATTCCCATTGGCAGAGTTTCACATTGAGGAGAAATAGCTAGCCCCAGGTGCTTATCCATCACTGGGGGCTGCTTGGGAGGAGAGTCACCTTGGTTCAAATGCCGTGTGGATCCCAAAGGTGCTGCAGTGGGACGCTGTCAGCTAACTGCACTCCTTCCAACTGACACCAAGGATTTTAGTGCATGCATGTATTAGTTATTTATTCATTTCCCCAAGCTGTTTGTTTTCAAATTATTGTTCTTACAGGTAATACTGCAATGAACAATCTTGTACATATCTTTAGGCTCTCTGTTGGCAAAACTGTAGAATAAGTTTCTAGAAGTGGAATGGCTAAAACATCACGTAACTATTCTTAAAATTTTTATGGATTTCATCAATTGCCTTCCAAAACATTTTTGCCAATTTTACACTCCCACAAATAGTAGAGTAGAGGGCTCATTTCCCCAGGACTTGCCAACATGAGATGTTATTAGCCTTTTTTGTTACTTGCCAATCTAATGGTAGAACAATGATGTCTAATTATCTTTTTACTTTTTCCTTTCCTACTCACTCATTAGTTTAGGCATGTTTCTATGTGTTTATGACGCTGTTGGTTTTCTTCCTTATTTTTCATTTCCTTTGCTCACCTTCGCTTATTGCTTTGTTTTTAAAAGCAAACATGAAACACAATTGAGAAATTTCTTTGGGGAAAAAGAATGCTAAACTTGTATTTGAAGCTGAGACAAAAATTCTTCTTGTCTTACCACAAAAAGTCAAGATGTGTTAGCTTTAGGATTCACTTGGTTTTTTCGGATAACATTGGAGCTACAGGTGCAAAAAAAAACCTTTTTGCTTTGGTGTTGCTTTAGTGAGGGGAAGGACTGGGGCCTTGATAAGAATAAAGAGGCCAAGAATGAAAGGAAGGGCTGCTCCAGAGGGAAGCGTTGTGCATGGACAGAGGCGAGATGTAGCTGTAGGCTAACAGGAGAGGGGCCCTTGTGTGAAGAAACTGGGGAGAGAGTCTCACCATCTAGCTTCATTTCCCAGCAATGGCTTAATAGCCCTTGAGTTCTCACCCTCCCTTCACTCATAATTACAGCCATGACTGTTTCCCTGGTGGTTTCTCATTAATTCAAAGTGTTCTCACACAAACTCATCATTTGTGTTCCCTCCTCAGTCAACTTACCATTTTCTTCTGGCTCTTTTTAACTTCCCTGCTTCTGTTAATGAAATCATCCCCACCCAGTAGCACAGGCTTAGAACATCAGAGAACTTTTTTTTGCCTTCCTTCTCGGCTTTGACAAAGCCTAGAGATCTTACTAACAAAATGGCCCTTTCAATGCTCTCTCCCCATTGCCCCAACACCTTTCCTCTTTGTCTGCCTATGAACCTTTGTTCAACCTTTACAACTCAGACATGTCACCTCCTCCAAGGAAGTCTTTCCTAACTGCTTTTTTCTTTGGATTATTTACATGTCTTTCTTCCATCTTTGAAGACAGGGACTATGCCTTTTTCATCTTTATGTCCCCAGCACCCATCATAGTAGCTTCAACATGGCTTCAACAGTTCCATGTTGCCTGCTCCAAGAATCTAAAAGTCCTCTTACTAGCATCGAAAGCTTTCATGATATAACCCTAATGTTCCATTTGCTCCTCCCATCGGGTACTCCAGGCTAAATTAGTCATTATTTCTCCACTATATCCCTCGCTCCTACTTCTGGATTTTTGCTCAGTCTTAGACATCCTTCCTCACTGTCTACCAATAATTTGCTAAAATCTTGTTCATCATTTTAAGGTCATCGCAAAAGCCAGTTCTCAGAGGAAGCATTCCTGAATCCCCAACATAGCTCTTCCTCCAAATACCCGTGAGCACCATTAACATCACCACCGTTCAGCACTGTAACTATCACCACCCACATGACAAATTGATCAAATCTCTCTTATGAACTGTTTTTACATGCATTTAATTGTAAGCTTTTTGCCCTGAGGATTAAATGAAAGTCTCGTAAATTAAAAAAATAATAATTGACCATTGTTTCCCATCACCAACTATTAGTCTGACGTACTTGAGAGAAGATGTGTTTGCATCCACGAAGGTGTCTAGTCCAGCTCTGGGCACCTAGTATCCTCTAAAAAACAAATAGAGATTTAGGCCTTGCTTTTCCCAATCTCCTCCCCAATATTCCCTTCTCATTCCCAAAAGAAGGCTGCTCCATTTCTTATAATAGTCACTTTCTCAGAGAGACCTTCCTTGCCCACCAAATCTAAGGTAGTTCCAGACGATTATATCCTTCAGGTGCATTTTCCTCATAGCCCTAGTCTTAATTTAATGCATACGCTTACTGTCCTTTTCTTGCGTAATGCCTGTTTTCCCCACAAGTCTATAATCTCCATGAGGGAACAGATCATGAGTATTTTGTTCCCTATAGAAACAGCTATTTCTTAAATAATCATTTGTCTGTTACATATTTTGTAAATATTTTCTCCAACTGTGTTGTTCATTTTTTAACTTTAAATATTCTGCAGTCAAATTTGTTCATCTTTCCATCATTGCTTTTGAAGTTCCTGTTATGTATATTTTAAACTCCTTCCGTGGAATATGTCCCTAGAGGTGGAAAAATTGAATAGACATTTCTTTAAGGGTCTTGATGCATTTTGTCAAATTGGACACGCCCAGCCCTCTGACAAAAGTGAGACTTGCATTCTTAAAGCTCTAGCAGCCTTATGGTATTAGATTTTGCCAGGCAAGCTGGACAGAATTCATTTAATGCTAGGTAAGCACGCATGAAAATTTCAGGAATCAGTAGCCTCAAGCAGGGATGCTGTGTTTAACATTGTGTACAAGGGGCAAACTTCAGTACCTGCCCCCCTCCCTGACCCATTAGCACTGAATCATTTGATAGTCCTCTCTCACGGTTTACCTTTATTCAAATGAATGCACAGATTTGTCCATACCCATTTCCCTCAAATAATTACCTTTGCTTTACTTCTGTAGCAACTAGATCACCTCCAAGATTGTGGTCATTCTGAGAGTAGAAGTGTCACTCTCTTTCTAGGTCACTCTCTAATCATGGTAACACATAGTGTCTTAGCCAACTGGCTAAACAACTTGACCTGGCTATTCCAGCCCAGCTATCATAATCGTTGCCAATTATAACAGGCCCCATCATAGAGAAATGACATAGAAGAATGTAATGTACTGTGAAAGGAACTTGGTAAATATTATTGAATGAGATGACATGGAGACAAAAAGTTTGGTGACCTCAGTTCACATTCAGCCCTTAGCCATCTCTGTGAACATCAAATGACTTCAACTGATCTTTAATCATCCTCCAACACACAGGGAGTAGTTCTGGGTAAGCCAGGTCAGCACTCAATGGGGCTTTCCTAAATTAGACCTGCCTGTAATGCATCATTTCCATCACCTTTCCTCTGAAAATTAAAGAGTATAATTCTTTATAAGACATATTTTTGCCTATTCCAGATCATACACACACAGTAAGAAAAATAAATGCATGTTTTTCTTCTACTTCTGTTCTTAGGATGTAATCCACGAAAAAGAAGGGCTTTTTACCTTAAATTTACTTGCTTCAAGAGACAGAGTTTTATTTTGTCTTTTGGCTTCTTGAATACATTTTTTGTTTTGTTTTTGCTTCATCAAGTTACGCAAATTCACAGCTATGTAAATAATAAAGGATTCAGAGTACAAACAAGTACATCATAGTGGCACGAAAACCTATCTCCAAGGGGCCAGCAGGTAGCGCAGTGGTTAAGTTCACACGTTGCACCTTAGCGGCCCAGGGTTCCCAGTTGGGATCCCAGGTGCGGACCTATGAAACGCTTGGCAAGCCATGCTGTGGCAGTGTCCCACATATAAAGTAGAGGAAAATGGGCACGGATGTTAGCTCAGGGCCCATCTTCCTCAGCAAAAAGAGGAGGATTGGTGGTGGATGTTAGCTCAGGGCTGATCTTCTTCCAAAAAAACCCCACCTATCTCCAAGTGGAGATGCAATTTGGAACTTTCCTCCATGTTTCCACAACTCTTTAAGCTTGAGCAGCAACAATGCAGGGTATAAATCACAAGATGCATCAGATATGGTCCCAACCCTGATCTTTTTCAGAGGAGGGGGCTCAGAGAGGGACAATATAAGAACATAAAGAACTACAATACACTGTAACGTCATAGTGTCAAAAGCCATACTTGGAAGGAGGAGAAGGCAGAGGCAGTCAGGAAAGATCTCCCACAGCACAGTTTGTGCCCGACATTTACGGGGAGAACTGAATGTCTTAGGCAAAGCTTTGGATTAAGGACATTTTGTACAAAGGGAACAGAGTGAGCAAATTACTTGAAGGGAGAAAAAGGGGAGTCAAACTGACAAATGGATCCCTTTTAAATTTCATTTTTAATTAACAGAGTTAAACCTAATGGAGAGAATACACATTCACATTACTGGAGAGAAACAAATTGATGGCCTTTTATCACCACAAGAAAAGGTAAATGTATTTTGGGCAGTACCTCAAGTCTCAGCAAAAGGAACTTCTAGTTCCTGACATGTGGTGTTCTCTCCTGGAGAAAATGCTGGAAGAGCTCTTTGGGCGATTTACTCCTTTCGTTGTCCAATGGGAGAGAAACCCATACTTTTGGACGCACTTATTGGTTACTGTAAAAGCCCCGCTCTGAGCAAGGACCAATTACATCCCGGAGCCCCGATTCTTGGAAATAGTTTCTGGCCGGGAATGCGTGACATTGAAACAGCCTGTACTCGTAAACAAGGACGAGTCTGGGCGGGACCCCAGCCCACGCGATACCGGGCCCTGTCCCAAATGGCTGGTCTTGAGCCCACGTACCTCTAGATGTCCGCTTTGGCTTCCTCCTACCTCCTTACCGTACCTCACAGTCTCGGGCACTGGTGCCAAGCCTCACCGCGGGGCCCGCGGCCGGGGGAGGGGCCCACAGTTCTTTATCTGAGCTGATTGGCGCGGCCCCAAGTTCAGGACGGGACTGTACGTCCCACTGACTCCTCCCCGCTGGAGTTGGCGGGGGGGGGGGGGGGGGCGGGGGGGGAGGTGCGGGGAAACAAATAAAGCCGCGGGAGGCGGCCGGTGGTGGCAAGACGCGAATTTGATTCTAGAGCCATTCACTGCCCCTGCGACTCACTGCCGGGCTCCTCCGCCCCGAAGGCCCCCCGAAGCTCAGCGCAGGGCAGGGTGCTCGAGCCCGCCAGCACATCTGTGCGCTCCGCCTCTCGTCGATCCCAGGTTCTGCTCCCCGCGGCTTTCTCCCCTCAAGTCAGACGCAGCCCCTGCCAGAGACGTGGGCATCGAGATGAAGGCGGCCCGCTTCGTGATGCGCGGCGCCGGCTCGCTGAGCGGCGCCGGTCTGGTCCCCCGCGAGGTCGAGCATTTCTCGCGCTACAGCCCGTCCCCGCTGTCCATGAAGCAGCTGCTGGACTTCGGTGAGCGGGGACGTAGGGCCGGGCGGGGTGAGGGGTTTGGGGCTGGGGAGTTGGCATAACTTTGTGCCCCAGTGCAGGGAGGCCTGGGCTCTTGGCTTAAGACAACTGAGATCCGCTTTCGTGCTGAACCCTGGGGCCTCGAGGCCAGCGCACCTTGCCTTTTCCTGGATCTGCCTTCTTTCTGACAGTTTTTGCCAACAGATCAAGGCCACTTACAGCCTCGCTGAGGCTGGATGGTTTGAGCTCACCTTTCCTCCTCTTTCTGTCCAAAGCATGCGGTCAAAATACTTTTTGCCTTCAGTCACCATTTAACAATGAACTAGAAACTTTGTCCCCTCCTTCATGGCATAATACTCCTTGAAGAAAATTCCTAGTGCTATAAAGTAGCCTCAAATTAATTAAGGTTTTATCCCTTAGCCACTCTCCACCCGTCCACAGGGTACATCTCTGCATTCCTAACAAATTTCTTTGTTTCTTTACCATTATAGTTTTCCATATGTTTGCATTACTGCTGAAAATATTTACAAACTTTCTGTAGTAATCTTATAAAGAAAATTTGAAGGATTTAAATGTGATGTAATTTATCACTAGTCTAGAAACATCATGGCTCCCATCCCACTCGCTTATGCCCCCTCCAATTTCAGATCTAGAACTCTGTGAACGATATTATCTCATTGACATTGTGGTGTTGACTGAATTCTGCACTCTCTTATAAGTACTGAGAGCTGTAGGATATTCTGACTTCTTGGAAGTGAATCCTTTTCAAAAAGAGAAAATAAGAATTCTCATATTGGTCACTTTAAAAGAAAAAAGAAAGAAAGAGACAATGAAGACGAAAATACTTAGTCCTGAATTATCTATAAGCAGTAATCCAATTGATGGTGAAATATAATTTTATAATGTATGTGCATGTGTTCAGTATTGGATGAGTAATTCTATTCAAATATCATTTAGACATACTTTTTTTCCAAAAACTAAATAAATGTTATTTATCACAGGTTCCGAAAACGCATGTGAAAAAACTTCTTTTGCATTTTTGCGACAAGAATTGCCTGTGAGGCTAGCCAATATCCTGAAGGAAATTGATATTCTCCCTGATCCGTTAGTGAATACATCTTCAGTGCAATTAGTTAAAAGCTGGTAAGTGGTGAAGCGTTCTAAACCAGTCTCTAGTTTCAAGACAGTTATCTGAGTATGAATTCTTATAATATATTAACATAATTGGAAAACAGGTGGTCTGAACAGTAAATGCTTTTGAAAGATGTAAAGAATGTTTTATTAACTTAGAGTAAGTCATCATAAGGGCAGTTATAAGGCTATAAACAGACATTTTTTACTCTGAAAAAGTACATACTTTCACAATACAATTTTTACTTCTAGAGGAAATATGAGAAATAATTGACACTTGCAATTTTAGTTTTGTATTTTAAATAATAAAAGACAGTTTCATATTTCAAAAGGAATCCTACCCTAGAAATCAATACAAATGAGTACTATTTAGAGAGGCCCTAATTTGTGTTACTAACAAGCGAATTAACAGAGCAGGCTGTGGGTTCAAATCCTGCCTCTGCCTTTTCCTAGCTGTGGAATCCTTGGCAAGTGTCTTCAATTCTCTATGCCTCAATTCCCCCTTCTCTTATTGAGGGGAATAAAGTATATGCCTCCAAGGGATATTTGAGTGTAAGTGACTGAAGTAAGAGGTAAAAAAAGCACTTAGAACAGTACCTGGCACACAGCCAGCACTCAGTTTCAGTTTTATCATCTCATTTAACAAATAAGGGTGCTTAAGCTTAGAGAGGGTAGATGACCCACAAGAGCAGATTTTCAGAGAATAGAGCCAGGATATGCACTGCAGCAGATATGCACCAGAGCCTCACCCTAATCTGCTGACTATACAGCGTTTTGTTCATTGATTCAAGAAATATATGCATTCCATACCCATTAAACAATGACAATCTGAAACACATATTCAATCCATAGTCTTTACTGCTGCTTTCGAGACTTCTACCCACACATGAATGAATGAAGTAGAAAGAAATATGAAATCTTTCTTAAAAATTTCTAAATACTTTTGCTATAAAAAATGAAAACATTTGCCAAATAAAACTGAATATTGCTCTGGAATAGTTAAACATAAATTTTAAGTTAGAAAGTTGAGGGTTAAAGTTGCATCTTTCCTTTTTTTTAGATATATTGTTTTCCAAATGTCTTGGAGGAAATTTGTCATTTTAAACATAATGCTTTATCTTTTCAAATCATTTTAAAAAGGCAGTCTGTTTTCAGCCACTTGGATCTGACTATTTAATTTTCAAACTTAAAGCACACCTATTGCTTTGCAGGTATATCCAGAGCCTGATGGATTTGGTGGAATTCCATGAGAAAAGCCCAGAGGACCAGAAAGCATTGTCAGAGTAAGTTCTGTGAATTAGACTGAGTGTCTAAAACTTTGGCTATTTCCAGACATACTCCTAAGATATTTTTTAGACCTAAATTAAAGGAGCTTCCAACCCTGAATAATAAATAACTACCCCCTTAGAAATGACAAGTTCTGTCTTGTTGCTTTCTTAAAGGTGATAATCAATTATGGCATTGAAAAATGATGCTGAGTAGGAACAAGGGTAGAGGACTTTTTTTTTAAGGAAATCTATCTTTACTGTAAATTTGGTCCAGTGATTAGATTTGTAGGAGGATTTACTATTACCTCATATTAATGCATTGGAGACTAAACATTTCCTTTCAGAGTAACTGACAGTTTCTGTCTGTAAGAATAAGAAATAAGAATATTTCCTGAATCTGACAAGAAATTTGGAAAGTTTTTTTCACCATGGCATTCTAGAGTCATTTTCAATTTTAATTATTTTTAATTACTATTTTTTTTAAAGAGAAGGCTTATTGAACACCTAGAATGAATACACCAGTCATAGAGCTGGTATTTTAACATGTAAGCTAAAAGGAAAATAAATCTGTTTATGAAATGATCTCTTCTACTATAGTCAAAGAGACTGATGAGAGCCTTAATAAGGCTTCATCCAAACATTTTATCATTTGATTTGTTTAAATGGATACTTAGAAAAAGCTTTGGCCTTCTTTGAAGTAATCTAAGGAATGTATGTGAATGAAACTTACTTGAACTTTCACTAACTGTAAACATATTTTGGATTAGTTTTGTAGATACTCTCATCAAAGTTCGAAACAGACACCATAATGTAGTTCCTACAATGGCGCAAGGAATCATAGAGTATAAAGATGGCTGTACAGTTGACCCAGTCACCAATCAAAATCTTCAGTATTTCTTGGATCGATTTTACATGAACCGTATTTCTACTCGGATGCTGATGAACCAGCACAGTAAGTTAGCTCATCATGGTCGTGTTATCCAGACACGAGTGTAGAATATAAGCCATACTCAAACTAGATGTTTCGCTGTTCGGTGGGTCACGTTCTTTCTTATTGTGATTTCTATAACAGTATTTTTTCTTTTTATTTTTCAACAGTTCTTATATTTAGTGACTCACAGACAGGAAACCCAACCCACATTGGAAGCATTGATCCAAACTGTGACGTGTCAGCAGTGGTCCAAGGTAATTTTTAGATTTCTGCATTTGCCTTATTGAAAATATACACTATATGATTGATATATCTATAGTTGGGGTGACTTTGTGAATGAATTTGTATTCAGAGTGTTCCATTTATATTTTTATAAATAGTGTCATGAAGGTCCTTTGCTTTTGAGAGTCAGCGGTTTAAGCGTTCATTTATAATATTAAAGAAAAAATCCAAACATCAACGGCTAATGTGCTGTATTCTTATATATTGTATTTGATCTCTGAAGTGTGCATATTTCCATTGCTACAGCTATAACTTAAACACTGTCTTAACTTTTTCTTCAATAAAATATTTTAAAAGCTTTTTTTCATATTCATAAACCTGTACTCTAATGAATATTTTAGATTAAGGGTAGTATACACACTGAAGATCACTTGAAAATTTTACTTGGCATAAATTCATTTCATCATTATTAAAAAAATTTTCTATTCCAGATGCCTTTGAGTGTTCAAAGATGCTTTGTGATCAGTATTATTTAACATCTCCAGAATTAAAGCTCACTCAAGTGAATGGTAAGCTATAAATTAATATGTTTTAATCTATGGAAAATTCAGTGTTCTCACAGTATGATTGCTTCTTGTAAATACAAAGCACCTTTTGTGTTCCTTTTTTCCCTTCTGAACTTGCACACAATTTCTTTTTGAAGCCAAAGTTCTCTTTATCTCAACTGGAAAGTTCCAATTGAGCATATTTAGTTGCTAATGACGATTCATAAAGAAGAATGGTTTAAACAAATAATTTGGGATTTAGTGGAGCACCTAAGTTCCAATATCTTAAATGAAAGAAAGTTTGCTTACTACAGAATATAGGGGATAGGGAGGCCAGAAGCAGGAGAAACCACTTGGTAGTGGAGCTCTCCGCCTTAAGAGGTCACTCATAAGACCTGGAAAGAAAAATACCTTAAATTATACTGTAAGACGTAAACCAGTCACAGAAGGACAAATATTGTGTGATTCCTCTTCTATGAGGTATCTAAAATAGACTCATAGAAGC